TAATAATATATTAATAATGGGACAATGATATTGACATAAAAAAAAAAAAATTGTCTATGTTTAATCAATTTTTGTCTCTTTGTCCCAACAAGTGGACGGTCATGAATGGAAAAAGGGGGGGAGGGGGGCATCTACCTGGGGCTGGGGTAGTGTGTGAAGAATTATAGATTGAGAAGAAAAGCACATGTTGAGGAAGGCCCAGATATTTCTACATCGTATCTTATCCACCCTTCCTCTAAAAAAAAAAAAAAGAAAAAAATACAAATAAAGAAAGCTACCCAAAATAAAACTGACCAAAAAGCCAGTGAAACTTTTTTTAGTCGTGTGTGGTAAACCCTCCCCCCTTTTGTGCTTTCGTGACAAGAGTGACAATAATGTATTGTACTGACTTTACTAATAACTTTTAGCCTAGATCTAAAAATCTTATGATCAGTACACTATTTGTAACCCTATCCTTACGCCCTGGGGTCATTTTGTACCCCCGGGGTTGTATTCTTCTCATTTTAGAATACTTCTAGTGCGAAGATCTCTTTGAAACTTTCAGTATTTAAAAAAAATGATTTTGACAGACTGCTATGCAAAGCGTACAGACTGGATTTAACGAGTAAATTTCCTCTTTGGAAAGTATTGGCACTGAGTTCCCCACGTGGTATGGATATGATAGTAAAACAGGACGTAGGCCTACGGATAGGGTTAATGTTTTATTTTTTAAATGTATTTATTCATTTTTGATAGACCAATCCCATAGCCCTAGTAACAAAAACGTTTGTTGTTAGAGGTCTGTTGTACGGCTTGGGATGCGACTAAAGCGAAAGGTTCATTAAAAAATTCGTCAAGCCCCGCTGACCGTTGCTAAAGCCTGTTTCCCTGGCGCTTTCTTTTGGGGCCACATAATCGGTTTTGGAGATCGCCGACACTGCCTAGCCACAAGGCCGGAGAACTCAGACGTCACATCCGCCTGTTCGCCCAACTGACAACAAACTTGCCGCCATGATCAAGGAGAAAGCACTCGCCCGAGCAAGCAGTTCACAGCACACGTATTAAAATCAGGTAAATTGTGCTATTTTTGTCGAGTATACGACTACGAAACTTTTAACATGAAAATGTTTTTACTGCTTTCATGTGACTTGTATCTGTAACAGAACATTCTATCGGGAAGGGGGATCGACAACTTGAAGAAACTCCGAAGAATCGGAAATTTAGATGCAATGCTAGGCATCGAAACCTGGAGACCCACGGCTTTACGCGAAGCGATACGAGAGTCAAAGCTTGGCCGCCGGTTGGTAGGCTGGGCCTAAAAAGTGCTTGATAACGACACACTTTTTCTGCCTTCTTTAAAAAAAAAAATTAAACAGGTGTGTTGGCTCATGCAGGTTTAATTTTGAATTTATTGTGTCTTTGGGTTGGTTTTCTTTCTTTCTCATACTTTTTAAAATATTTTTTTCTCTCTAATCTAATGTTTTCATGCCTAGAAGTTGGAAGTTGGATTTTGAGTGTTTTCCTTGGTTTGCTCTTACTTAGAAATTATTAGCCTAGCCTAGATTCTAGATCTAGGCTAGATCTCTAGATCTAGATTCTAGATTTAGATCTAGAGAATAGAATAGGGAGGACTTCCGTAAGGAGCGACCACTTTGAGACAGAGCAGAATTGAGGGCTAGGTTTAGGGGCAGATCTAGGGGTAGGGTTAGGGTTTCTTTATTGTGTTTGGTGGGGTGGACGCTCATTACGGAAGTCCTTCCATAGAATAACATTTTTAGTCTATATATGTATTTCTGAATGCCCAGAATTTGACTGAGGTTCTTGGCCTCGATCTAGAATCTAGATCTAGATTCTAGATAGAAGTCTAGCCTCTAGCCTCCAAGAGATCATCTAATCTAGAATGTAGGAATTGGGCAATACAGATACACCAAAGAGTCACAAGGTTTAGAAATAAGATCTTGTTTTCAGTCACTGAGACTGGGTGTGGTCCATTTTTTTTCCCAATACCATAGAGTGTTCATCAAGAGTAACTTGCAAAAAGTAAAACGGGGCCGAAGTAAAAAGTTACAGTGCATTTTCCCCGTCACACTGTGATAGTAATACAACGGTCTCCATTGTTTGTAAAGTCTTCTCCATTCTCACTCGTTCAAGATTCGATATTAGATTTAAGGCCGGCTCTATTTCTTCGAATGCTCTGGAAAATGAACTACTCTTTTCTCGGAACGATTTCCGTTCTCGAGATTTTTTGGTAATTTGTTAATTTAGTGGCCTGTTTGTGTGAGAGTGTGCGTGTGCACGCGCGTAGTGTGTGTGTATAAGGTGTGAATGGTAGGAGGGTGTAGGGGCGTGGAGGAATTTTTTGGTTTGTTTTTGCTTTAGGGTTGACTTTTAGTCCAAAGTCGAACAATCAGATTGTTTTCTGAACTCGCAGTACCTTTTGAATTTGAAGACATTTTCAAATGAAGTAGTCCGGGAATGTTGCCCCAACCACAATTGAAGTATCAGATCTGAATATTCAGACATCTAAAAATCTCCAGCTCTAGAAATTGAATTCAATGCAAAAAATGCTTCTTCCCAGTACTCGCAGATTTTCAGAATGAAAAAAAAGATGACGCCGAACTCTCGCACTCCAAAAATTCATGAGGATGGAAACCGTTCTGAGAAAAAGAGGTCAAGTTTAATGGGCCCATCATGTGGGTAGCTGTGACATCATGCATCAAAGACAATTATTTATTTTAAGAAGGGAGACAAGGGAAACCGGTCATCTCGTCACACGGTCATCTCGTCACATGCCAATTATGTGTGACGAAATTACTTCGCGTTTATAAAAATAAAAATCTCTTCAAAATTGATATATGGTAGAGTTTTGGAGGATCAGCACCCTCTTGTTTCAAAATTTATTTAAGCCTGAAACTGCGCCCCCCCCACCCCCCACACACACACACAACATTTCTACCAATAAAAACAACTTAACAAAACTCACTCGGTTATGAGTTAGGAACGGTGTAGCTGATCAGGTAGGCACGGCGACTCGCCGCCGCCCCCCC